ACCCTAAATGTGTATAATTTACATGATTTATCCGTTTCTTTTTTCATGTTTGATCTAGTCAATGACAATTTGCCTCATATTTGATAGAGTACTGTGACATTATAGAACATAGCCATTCCACAAGACAAAAAGAAGGTGGACAATTACGTCTTCCACAATTAGAACGACACAAGGTCAATTTTTTTGTCTTTTGTGGGCAGTGCATTGGAATAAATACCTATAGATGTCAGATTGACAAGGTCTTGCAATAAGTTTCGGGATTCTGTTAAATGTCATTTGTTGAATAATTCTCGAATGAAATATCAAGTTATTAATTTGCATTTATATTTTACATTATTAGTTTGACTGTTTGTCTATTGTAAGACATTGTTGAGTATTCTTGTTTTTTTAAGTATCGATTGTATACAATAGTAAATTCATTATTTTTTGTTTTGTTACGTTTTCTAAACTGATTTGTACCAAAATACTTTGTTTAGGCTCGACTAGCACATGTGCTATTATCTGGCCCCTTTTACCAACCAATAGTTTTTTTTTCGTGTATTATATAAATTCATTGTATGAAATGTATATGTATTGCTGTTGGTAAATAAATCAAATCAAATCAAATATTAAAAGCAAATTTACTCCGCAGATTGAAACTCAACAGAACGAAGATTTACTTCTTCTATTAAGGGATTGCAGGTTTTTTAACGGAGCTCCAATATTAGGTCAAGGTCTTGTTTAGTATACAAAGTGATATTATCCGGAGAGTGCAAAGTTAGGGGTATAGCTTTATGTGACGCCTTAAAGTGACTTGGTAACATTGTTGAAGGTTGATGAAAAAATTGCTTAATTTTGTATAAAATGTTACTTACTATATTCCTTTTACTGGACTAACCCTCTGACATGCAACAAATCCTGAAAAAATTCTCAAACCACGAAGATATCTATGGTTTTCTTTGAAGGAGTCGATGTATGACACCCTCTAACAGTGATTAACAATAAATTCTCCCAACCATTTTTGAATTTTCCCAACCGTTTTTCCATGAAAAAGACATTAAACAGGCTATAAAAAATCTGTCAACACTTAAATGTCTGGAATGGAATATAGAGCCATTTTAATGCTTTGTGACGATTTCCATTCACCTAAAATGTAATTAAATTGTAATAATATAGTTGGGAGAATTAAGGAATCGATCAGATCACTTTTTCTCAATTTGTACCATGAATAATGGTCCGTTTTCACTCACATTTTCAGATTCTCTTTAATGGTACATCTAGCATTGAAGTCACTACCTTAGCACCACTATCTCTCATCTGAACAATGTACCAAGTCCCTTTAATGCACACACACACACCCGCAAAAAAAAAACTCGCGCATACACGCATACACCCACATGCCGCCGCACACTATTTTAAATATGGCAATTAAAATCAATTCAGATGAGATTAGTTAGATGTTACTATCTCATCGTAAATGACATTTACGGTTATCATGTAATTGCCGTATAGTTTTGACTTTAAATTAACTTTAAATTGACACCCGCATAGCTTCAACCCAATTGATGAAAAGCAAATCCATCGCTTCTGATTAGTTACTTGGTATGTGTCATATCTAATTGAGTTTCTATTCAAATTAACTGCGAGCGGCCGGAATTTTTAACCGTCAAAATACGGTTAATTCAAGACACTTATCAAATTAGGACATTTGCAATAACAGCAATGGAAATTGATACAAATGAATCCATTCTAGTTTGATTTCCGCACGCTATTTTTAATGTTACGATATCGGGTAATTACAATTTCGTTTAAAGGGATTTTTCTTTAAATAGCATTTCACTGTCAGTTAACTCTTACAGCATTCATTAGTAAATGGAATTACATTTACAATTAGAAAATGCATATCTCAAAGAAACCAAGGCACGCTGCCCGTGCATGTAAACAACTCCTGACAATTGCGTATGATCATCGCGTGAAAAATGAAACCCAATTAGCCCCCTTGGAAAATCAGGGGGTATCTAGCCGCTGTGCCCCCAGTCCCGTGGCCTGTCTCAGCGAAAGGGAGCGGGGACAAAATTATACGCCGACAATAATTTCCCGAAAATGTTTCTCACAAATTTTTTTCCGGCAGCTATTTTTTCCAGCGGGAGTCCATCTCCCAAGCGCCCAAAACCAGAGAGAGTGCGCATTTTACACCTTAACGGGTTTGTTTTTATTTTGTTATTCATAACGACGGGGCACGACTCCAACGCATTTCAAAGCGCTTTTTATACATAGGAATTACACTATTTGAAATGATTGACAGTCCTTACTGTTATTACTATCACTATTACTATCAATATAATTTTTATCATTTCCATTGTTTTCGTTATTTTTCTTTTTTTATTTTATAGTTATTATCATTATTAGTATTATTATTATTATTGTTATTATTATCATCATCATTATTATTATTATCACTATCGTTATTATTATTATTATTATTAATAATATTATTTTTTACTATTGGCCTCCTTATTGTTATCGTTGTTAATATTATAATTGTTTTAATTATTGTTATCAATATTATCAATATCATCATCATTACTTCTACTTCTACTACTACTACTACTACTACTAACACTAACACTACTACTACTACTACTACTTCTTCTTCTACTACTACTACTACTACTACTACTACTACTTCTACTACTCCTCCTACTAATAGTACTACAATTACTGCTCCTTCTACTACTACTACTACTACTACTACTACTACTACTACTACTACTACTACTACTACTACTACCACTGTTATTACCGACCATATAATGATATTACTGTTTTATGATAACAATCGTTAAAATCTAATCACCCGCTCCAAGTGAAGATTATTATGTCGAAGACATGTCTACACTGCACATTCGCTGTATAATGACTTTACACAACATACACGCATAATTACAAATCCCACCACTCCTATTTCAGCTATCCGTGAAATTCAATCTAATAAAAACTATCTCCATTTATTTGTCTACCTGTCGTCAACTTAATTTGTTATAATTATGTATATATATAAATATATATATATATACACGATAATTTTTTCTACTTTAAAGAAGTAAGAATAGAGATATAAATGATTCGACGAGTGCCGAGATTCACGCTCTCTCTATGCTATGTCATCTCTTCAAAGCAATGTTGAATGACGTTACAAATTGCATTGTGGATTGTGGAAGCAAAGTTGAATATATAGAGTTCTATCCTTAAGCTTGAAGCCCTGATTAAGTTTCTGGTTTAATTTCTGATTGCTAGGGTTGTAATATTGTCCCCAAACCCCAAGGTATGCCTAATCATTAATGAGACCATTGTCATTGTATCCCCATCATAATGCATCTTAATCAGCCTAGGAAACACAAAGGATCATACGTCGTCAGTGTAGTCAGTCCTACGTGAAACAAGACTATAGTATCATTTTTTGTTTTCGAATTCTCCTCCCCAATTGATAACGACGGTCAAATTGTGATTGAAACGGGCCTTTTGTGCATTTCAAAGCTGTAGTATATTTAGCACTGCTTATCAATATGCTGATCCAAATGCAAACACACCGGATCATTACTTATTTTCTGTATAACTCAGTCGGTGGGGGTGCATTGGCGATTGGATATATGTTCTTGTGTTGACGTGTCCCATGAATTCTAATTCTTCAATTAAGTCGTGTCCTATTTCTGTTCATTGTTGCTGTAGTTGTTGTTGCTATTGTTGTGTAGTGTGTGTGTGTGTGTGTGTGTGTATGTGTGTGTGTGCGCGTGTGTGTGTTCGTTCCTATTCTTTTATTATGCATTCTAGGAGTGATGTTATTATCAGAATAAACATGAAACACCGGAAATAAAATTGTCAACACCATCTAGAACTCTCTAAAAAAAGGAAAAAAATGGTAGACTCAAATTTACTCGATGACGTCTCTCATGATTGACTCAATTTCGAAATTGGTTGTTTAAGTAAATGTAGAAATATATGTATATTCATATTGATAGTTATTAACTATTTATGATCTTTATCAAACAGACGTTTATCTAATAGAAATTCATACACAAATGAAATTCGAAACAAAAAAATTTATATAAAAGTATTTTATTGTGCATGGTTACTGACATATAGCTTCTGTAAAAATAAGTTATAAACATAGATACACTGTAAAAAAATAATAGTCGAAATAACTCAATAAAATTGAGGAAAAGAATTGCCTTATTTTTATCAAGTAAATATTACCTACGGCATCTTAAGTAGAATTTACTTATTTTGCTGAATAAATGTTTACTCAGTTAAATCGAGTTACATTAACGTAAATAATTTAAGTATTGTAATCATTTTAGATAATTAAAAAAAGCTATGATAGGATTACATATTGCACGATTTGGTACCCATCTAATCTAACAAGTAACATCCACTAATCATTCACTACTTCTATTTAAGATTTAACCGTATATATATATATATCTACCACCATCACAAACTATTACATACGCTTCAATTCGACCATATTGAAAGGCTCCAAATTTTATATATACTTGATCGTAGCATCTTAAAAGGAAAATTGGGTGACAATTTCCTGAAATATCAAGTTTTGATTTGTTTTGAACTGGGTAACAATTAAAAATTATCTTGTCTTTGCTTAGCCATGTTAAATGAATTAGTAAATGTTTTAAAGTCCTTAAATTTTCATTCAACCACAAAAAAAGAATTGTTTTATTTAAAAAAGAGTTTAATTTGGTCTTAATGAATATTCATAAATTATGTAAATATTTCTATTACGCACTGCATCGGTCCTTACTTTAAAAAGATAAGAATAATCAACATAAATTGTTTGACTAATACGTATAATTTCTGATTTTGAGTTAAAATTACTAAATTAATACAAGCTGAAATTATTTAAAGTTCTTATGTATTTGATTTTACTTAAATATTCCACGTATGTTCTACTAAATTGAAAGTTTGAGTTAGCAAGACTTAAATACGGTGCGTAAGTGGCAAAACTAATGTTTTCAAGTAAATTCTACATGGATAAAATACGTAAAAATTACCAATGAACAAATTCTTTTTTACAGTGTACTTATATAATCATCGACACTGTTAATAGTGCATAGCTGGATTAGGTAGGCGCTATAAATAGCGTTACAAGTCACCAGCCGATATTGAACAAAGGTTAAAAAGTTTACACCTAGAAAATTGCTAATTTTTTTTAATTACATGTTATTTATTGAACCTGAGAGGTAATCCCACCAAGGCGGTCAGTGTGGGACCTGTTACTCAGGAAGTAACACACAATGGAAATGATAGATTGATTGACATCCATACATATCATCTAAGTTATTGAAATGAAAAGAAGAGGGCAGCGATCCTCGAGAAGCGAACGGCAACCATAAACGGTGCCATCACGATCACCTCGTCTCCGGCAGTGGGCGTTGTTGTAGGGCCGATGGCCAGCTGTTCGGAATCGCATCACAGCCACGCGGTAGCCGTGTTGATAGGATAGCCGTCATCAACAGACTCGGTTATGTCGTTAAAGCGGTAATACTCAGAGCCTTTGAAGAAGTAAGTGCGGGCGTTGGTCCACTGGAACGCCGCATCTACTCCGTGGCTTGGGAGCCCGTCCCATTGGCTGAGCGGTTGAGGGTAGTGTGAGGTGACTCCATAACCAGGGGTGTAGCGGTAATACTCGTCTCCTGTGGGATACAGGGAGCAAAGTAAAAATAGATTACTAAATGTCTGAAACACATTTGTTGATGATTATATATTCAATTAGAAAATAATGTTGTGAGAACCTTGAAAAACGTCATGATTATTTATGTTGATTGAATTCAATCATTGAAGTTACAAGGAACCCGATGTAGTCATTTTCCATTATGTCATTCAAATCAGAACACCCACAGCAACATATCGAACAATATAAATCATGTTGAATGGAAGGGCAAGGGAGAGATGCCAGATCGAATAACCAAGTAGCTAAATAATTAAACAGGCCACAACAACAAACGGTCCCCCGATTTTAAATTTTGCCGACAGGGGGAATTAAGATCTCCAGATTGGTAGACAAATGTTCACTTTTCTCCACTATTGTTTAAAGAATTGCCTGCAGCTTTTAAAACGTCGAATTTGCTGACAAAAACCACAACTACCCCTTCACCCTCTTCCCATCCCTCCTTCCCCCTCCACCGGCTATGCCCCTGAATCAAACTCCATCGTACCTTTTGTGAAATATATCTTGCCATTACGGCTCCAAATGAAAGCCGAAGAAATGTCCTTCGGCACTCCGCGCCAGTTTGACATGGGTCTCGGATAACCGTTATCCATTCTCTGGTTACGGAACCTCCAGTATTGACTTCCCTGTTGTGTAAACAAACAGGAGAAGTAATATCATTACAGCATTTTCCAACAATGTCCTCCTTGTGATGAATGAATAAGATGAATAACGGGCAGAGACTAACGAACAAGTGACCGATATTTTGGAGGGAAAGGGTTGCTATCACCGTGAATCACGTGACAAGAAAAGGTGCGTGAGAAGTAGAAAGAGTTGGTGGGAAGGAGAAAAAAAGAGAGAGAAAACTGAATGAGAGTGACTGTCTGAGAGACTAAGGAAGAGGGAGAGAGAGACTATTAAAGAGGGCAGGTGGGTGGGTATATTGGTGGAGGGAAAGAGAGAGAGAGAGAGAGAGAGAGAGCGAGAGAAAGAAGAAGGGTCGTGAAAAAAGAGAAGCGATGGGTGATTAAAAGAAATCCCCCTTTCTTGTTCCTTAATTTCATTTGTATTTCCACTCACCTTAAAGAAATACGTTTTACCATTACGAGGGTAATACAAAGCTGCATCCAGAGCAGTTGGAAGACCGAGAAACTCATTACCAATCACCTTCGGATAACCGTCCGGAATCGAACCATCTGTTCGACGATACAAGTGCGTTGCTGCAAATGTAACATAAATCAGAGCTTTAATGTAGTTTGAAGTTTATTTGAACAAACTGAAGAGTCAGTTACCAAACGATACATGTAGTTATAACTTATATCAGCTTTAATATTCGGTAAATGAGTAAAATTAAAATTTTCGACGGAAGTTTAGATACGACAGGCAACAAACGAAACAACCAAAACCAACAACAGCCAAAGATGAAATGTAAGGAGCGTCAATATAAAACAAAGCTTGAACATGATATAGAAGAGTAAAAAACAATCATTTCACCCACTTTCTCACTTTCTCACAAAAGTATCTCTCCACTACCCATCTGCATATCACTGGTCATATTATCTGGAAAAAAAGTTCGTCTTTTAATTTTGTTATGTTTTTCATTGTTTTTTTTAATATTTCTTAGGATATATATATTATTTTATTTCTAATGTATTCTTTGGTTCTAGAATAAATCAAGTTACTTTGAGAAAAATATCAAAGCAATTTGATATCAATTCATATCTCCCACTCATGAAGAAATAGATCTAAACCTGTATTCACATTAAATTTTCTGCTTGTACGTGAACATATATAGGCAATTAAAGCACTTTTTAATGACAGGCGCATACTAATTGTTATGTAACACCTTAGAGGTATATCTGGTTTAAAACAATTGGTATCAAAATGTGCGTAAGACTCGACGAAAAAATGTCATTAAACGGCAATTTTAAATTCTAAGCAATTTCCAAAGAATGTGAAGGGGGCTACCAGGTCCCCTTAGTACAGTTAGGGTTAAGGAATACGGTGTTAGAGAATATCAGTACTTTAACTTTGTTTGACCATGGACTTAAAAGCTAATATAACATATATTGGTAGGAACGCATACAACTGTAGCTATTGAGTAGCCTACATGATAGGAATATGAAGTCCTACTATGACTTTATTTAAAATAGCAATCAATCTCCCGACAATGATTTCGAGAATCATAAAATAAAAAATATCATAAAGGTGCATTACTTCTAAGTAATCGTAAACAAAATGCAGTTCTCTTAAGAATTTCTTTATATTGAACAGTACTATTACATTTCAAGCAAAATAGACGGCGTCATATAAAAATAATTAGTTTTCGAAGAAACTTTATCTTACCATTTCCCAAATAGGTGGAGCCATCTAGCGTTCTTGTTGCCAGTGTTATTGAAGTCATACACTTATCCACCGGCGTAGAGGGCGTGTTTTCAGGTTCTCCAACATTCTCGCCTATCAAATATAGAAAATACATGAACATAGTTATACATTTGACGTAGAGCCCTCCCAATTAAGTGTTCAATGAAGGTATATTTGATTACACATCCTCTTTCCAATAACGCATATATAAAAATAAAATTAAAAAAAATCAGAATTCTTAATAATTGCCATGTCGTAGTGATGATAATCAAGTTACGATTGATTTAAATCAAACGAAAATGAAGATAAGACAGGGATAGTTTATCCACAATGTGTCCAATGTTCAATGGATCAAGACGTTCAAACTTTCACAATTTTTTTGGTTTTTGACATACTGATCATGAGCACGTATACAAGCCGTTTCTGTGATGATCGCGGTGAGATCTATGAGGGATAATGCACTTTTTCATGACGCTTTCCTTGCAGCTCATACTGTGATACACATTCTTTATAAATGGACGGAACGGTTTACGCCAGGGAATGACGCTTCATGTGTAGTATGCAGGAATCACCTTCAGAAAATAAAATGTTTTCCCAACAGCATCTTTTTCTGAGAATTTAGGAGTAAATATGAATAATGTGATTTAATACCTTTCTTCTCTTTTTTTTTGGGGGGGGCGGATTTAATATATTTTTCCCCGTGCAAGTAGCCAAAGAACTGTGGATCAGCCACCGAAAAATAAATGAATAAAAAAGTCAATGTTTACCATAGTGGGCTTGAATACCGGCGATGTCATCACTATTTAGCTGGAAGTTGGGTACGTAGCCTGTGTAATACGGGTACATCACAGCGCCCTCAATCTGGGAATGGCCCAGTCCAAGACTGTGCCCGAACTCGTGCACGGCGACCCATTCCAAATTTGTTCCTGTAAGGATTCAAGAGATAATCATTACCCCGGGTTCAGCCCTTCTTTTTCACTGAACATGATGAATGAACCAAAATAATGACAATGACGTAGCTAGAGAGGGCTCGGAGGACACGTGCCTCCCGGTGAGAAAAAAAAAGGAAAGGAAAAGAAAAGAGAGAAATGAAAAAGGGAGAAAGGAAAAAGGAAAAAGGACTAGAGAAGATACCGACAACTAGGACCCCCTCTCGTACCCTCGTAATAAATGGTCTCGCAGATTTGCATTTCATTTTTCGAGAAAGACCAAAGCACACCTTTCGATTCTAGTGCCCCATCAGCTCACACACGCTACGCCACTGAGCCCCAATGTAAATAATAATATAATAAATCAAGAGAAAGTAATGTGTCCATGGAGAGCCTTTAAAGAGAAATGGATATTTCTTGTGGGCAATCCCCAGGCATTGGTTGTTCTTCCTCTTTTTTTTCTTTTTCTAATATTAATCATAATGGTATGCTTTCATTGCCTATGTTATCGTTCGATAATACCGGTACATGTCCTTAAAGGGATCTCAAAGCCGATTCTGAGAAAGTAAGGGTTGTGTCACAAATACAGATCATTTAATCTATTTATCGTTGCCAATTTGTGTTTGATTGATCATAACTTCAAAAGTTCATAACTTTCTTATTTTTAATCGGATTTTTCACAAACTTTCACTGACCTTTTTTCTCTTATTTGTCTGCATCTATTTAAACTAACTTAATATCAGGATAGACCTCCCCTGTAAACATGGATATTTTTTTTAAAGGTCACGTACCTGAAAAACTAGCGTCCGTGTAACGTTCATCTTCGTCGAAGTGTGCGTCGCCGCCAATTGCATTTGAGGAGGGGTAATACGCATGTGCAAGAACACCACCGGGTCCGTCAAATGGATTGTCGTCCCCGTGGCTGCCTGGAGCAAAACTGATCAAGATGTCTGCGTTTCCTGACTTTACCAGCGTGAATGTAAGACCAGATGCATCAGCCCATTTCTGCAGAGTAAAATAAAGGAAGAAGAAAAAAGGAGTAAATCATCATGACTACTGTGTCGAACTGGTAGTGAGGTGATGCCTCTTGTCTGAATATCAACAGCCGTCAACATGTATTCAGTCTCTACAATTTGCAACGAGTAAAATGTTAAAACCAAATAAACAATAGAACAGTACAATTAATAAATTAAAAAGCAGAAGGAGGCGAAAACAGGGAAAGCAAATACTTGTGTTGAGAACGTCCGTTACACATTGAAAAAAACGAAAAGAGAGTTATGAATTGAAGGATAATGTCATTGAAATCGCATGATAATAAGTACTACTGTGTATATTTTCGAGCCTTCAGTACGAAGTGGTGTTTACGATGACGTCACCATCGCAGACTAAAGAAACTAGAATATCACCGGAGAATATCAACAATAAGAAGCAGCTTACGTCTCGTTTGAAAACCGACTGACAATAAGAATCTGGTAATGAAAATGTTTTTTTGTAACAAAATGTACAAGAAAAGATATACAAACTAAAATAGACCACCTCACTCCCAGAATAGCCCAATATGGAGACGGTTGCCCAAACTTCAGTCATTACCCCCCCCCCCCCCGCCCCCTCCCCCTTCGCCTCTAACACGAATGAATAACATGAAATGATGAATATAACAAACAATTGATTATTTCAAACATGTCACTAATGAAGGATAAGGATATTATTCAGAGATTTTTTTCAAACGTATTAATATACGCCTTTAGACATGATTTGCAAGGCAATGAGCACATCCCAGTAGACCGACAGCCCGCGAGACCAAACATTTCGGTCACGTAAACCTGCAGACAGGCCGATGAACCAAATCTTTGGTCTCAAGGACTCAATCTTGTTAGCTGTCGGTCGAGCCAAACCTTAAAAAAAAATTAAATCGCCTGAGATTGTTTGAAAAATAGAAAATCCATGTTTTGCATTCATGTTCTATATGGCTGTCCCTCGCTTAATTTTTATTGTAATCAAGAACAATTTGTGGGCTTAAAGATCTTCTCTTTTTTTTGGGGGGGGGGGGGTGTTCTTGATCCCCCAAAGCCCCCCTCTAACACCCGTCCGCTTTTGAAGCAGATCTTACCTCGATAGACTCGGTAATGATACGGTCAACCTCGTTAGCAGGCAGGTCTGGGGTCCTGTTGATGATCCTATAAGTGAGTTCTGTCTTGGACCACCTGCTGCCTAAGGCATATCGCTTCTTCCTCATCATGTCGGCAGGGGAGTCCATGTCCACCATTCCACAACGAGGTGTGTTCATCATCGCCATAGTCTCACTGTCTAGGCATCCTGGGGGAATCAACAGAGAACGATCGAGCAAGGTGAACTCTAGTTCTGCATGGCACTAATACCGTGTGGTCATTGATACTGTGCCTATACTAGTGATTGCACAAGGAAAAGTTCAATTCTGTGAAATTAAAATGTTTCTCGCCGTGCTCCCTGGAAAGAATGCATTTTGAACTGTAATTCAAGGGTGTCAGTTTAGGGTGTGATTACTGAATTTATGCTACAAAAATCTCGGAGCGGCATGGGCTATCATGTAAGCCCCTTCCCCTTCGTTACCGAGAATTGCAGAAGAGTAACTTTTCACATACCTGTCATTGTTATATTTGCAAATCTTTGGAAATACTCGAGAGCTGTCTTCATCTCTTGAGAATTCGGCATGCCACCTTTCATGTCCAGATATCCATACTTATTGAGATACGCCTGTAGATCACCAAAGGTCAAACAAGAAGAATAAACCACCAGATGAATAAAGATATTTAAACAATAATGCAAATTAAAGTTCACATTTATAGAATATGTTTCAAGCATGTAGCCTGTAGGGTCATTTCTCCATTTTTGTTTGACAAAGAATAACAAAATTCAAACTTATTATATAGTGTTCAAAGATAAGTGAGTGTAAAAGTCAATTTTATAATTAACGGAAATCTCCAAAAATTAATATATTCCATAGGTCTCTCCGGGAAAAATAAAACAGACATAATAATAAATTACATTTCTCGTAATATTTTGTTTACAGTCTAATCTTTCAGGGAGGTAAAAAAAATGACGATAGTCAGATATAGTTGGCATTTTATATAAACAACAAAAATGATCAATTTTATATATTCTTATCCCGTGGAATAAACCCCGAAATGCCCCATCCCCGAAAAAAATATCAAGTTCAAATTCAATTGTGTTGCTTAAAATCCGAGTTACACTCATGCCCCCCCCCCCCCTGTTTACCGAGCAGTCACTTATGCCTGAGTTAGTATTACTAACAATAATCCGACAAACAAGGCTAAAGCTAGTCCCTAGTGGTGTTTGGATTGTTCCACATTCATTTCCCATTTGTATTATTGTAACTTAATGTTTAAAAGTCCTATCGATTGGCCGTCCATTAGAAAGTACCATAAGGAATGACCTTTAAGAAAGATTACTTTACTTAAAAATGCCTTGTCAAAAGCACGCTCTATGTCACCATGAAAAAACGTGAATTAAATAAACTATGGTAAAGTGAAACGTAGAGGTGTCGTGGTCGAGTGGATATGTCAACGGACTGTGGATCACAAGGTCCGCGGTTCAAGTCCCGCCGCGGCACTAATGTCCTTTGGCAAGACATTGATCTACATTTGCCACTCTCCACCCAGGTGTTAAAATGGGTACCCGGTAGGATGCGAAAGCTAATGTGGTTTGATTAGCAATGGCGCTTGTAAAATGGCGACTGGCTGGAATGCTCCCCAGGGAGTGGAGAATGTGCATACCTTGTATGCGGGTAAGCCTGAATCCGATGACCGGGGGAATAATATGTTCCGCGCCTAGAAACGTAGTATTAGGCGCATTATAAATGTGAGCTATTATTATTATTATTATAACTACAAAAAACGGATTCCTTTAATACAGGTTTTATAGAGAAATGAAGCTATATACAGATGGTCACTAATATAGGTTTCACTGTATATGGAAGGGGTTGGGTAAACAGAAGCAGCAAGGTTCCCACCTAGCCGAGTTGTATTGGCGATTTGTGGCGAGATGGCTCAAAGAGGCACTCGCAATAACTTGCGAAAAGCTCTTCCCGTTATTTAAGCAGGGCTCCCACTTAGCCGAGTTGGAGCCTCGAGTTGTGGCGAGCTGACGCGATTTCATGGCAAGCAGTTTTATCATTAAAACATATTTCTTGATATCAAAAATTCAATTCTTGATATCACGGAATGGAATTCCTGATATCACGAAATCGAATTCTTGATATCAAGAATTAACATTGCTTTACAACGTAAAATTATTTCTTGATATCAAGAATTGATTTCTTGATATCAATTAATAATAAAACGGCTTGCCATAAGATCGCGCCAGCTCGCCACAACTCGAGGTTCCAACTCGGCTAAGTGGGAGCCCTGCTACTCGATACAACTCTTCACAACTCTCGACGAAGTGGCGAGCAGGTCCAAATGAAATCATAAGGGACTTTTAGATTTGCGTGGACTAATACATGTGACGTCCATTCAAGGCAGTGCATTAAAAGGACGTCGATCGTAGCAATCTAAAATGTCCCTATTTTAACTTGAGGTGAACTCGCTTTCACCCGTAACAAGCTCGCGCTGCACTCTTCATAACTCGTAGCAACTCCCCCACCTTCAAGCAGGCGCGTACGCAGGGTTGGGGTTTGGGGGTCGAACCCCCCCCCCCCCCCTCAATTTTTGTTTTAAGAGTGACCAAAAAAAGTGACCTTACTCGAGAGAAGGACGCCAATCATTTTGTGATGCAATATAATCCATCTTCTATAAAATTTAATCCATCTTGTTTAACAAGCGATAAATCATTTGCATTATAATAGCCTGCCATGGGTCAAATAACACGTTTTGTGATCTGGAAATAGTCGGAGATTGAGGGACGTCTAACCCCACACCCCTCCACCCCTTCCCGGTCAGAGAACCCTGAATCCACCCCTAAATAAGTTTGACGCCATAAAGAAATAAAAATTACGTACCATTGCTTGATCTTCATTTTTGACCCTGTTCTTCTGTGCAAGGCAACAGGTCACCATCAGAAAACTCCAGAGAGCTAGTATAGCAAGATCAACCGTGAAGACATTTTGCCTTCTCTAACGAAGATCTTGGTGGTTAGAAAGTCCAGCAAACAAGTTCTTTTCCCAACGATCGAAGCACTCTAAACTGTTCCTGATGAATTGAAATTGTAACAGGTAGCATGGACCCTATGCTTTTAATTGCTGGAGGCTAAGTCTGCTTTTGTCTCGTTCTCAAAGTGTTTATTCCCTTTTAAAGACGGCTGTGCATCCACCGGCGTCCCTACAAATTGAAGAAGTGACGTGATTGGGTGATCATCTTTCGTTAGCACACGGCACTCTAGCTCGTTTGCCCCATTACGCATGTGCAGTGTGGAATATTAAAGTAAAGATTGAAGTTTTCCTGTTGTTCTTCTTCTTTTTTGGTTTTGTTTTTAGGCATTTGAGGTGAGATTTAACGAAGTATTAACCTACATACAGGTAATATAATCGTTTTCATTTTTTATTTTGTTTTGCTGTTAAGGAAATCACAGGTCCGGTAAGATTCAAGATTCAATATTGGACTCAGTGTGAATAATTTAAAGAAAATATAGGTGAATACAGCAGATGAAAACTTAAAAAGCATAAGTGACATGAATTAAGGATCGTAATCATAATTATAGATCTCGATTATTCGACTCTCACTATTGTAATGTATAATCATTGCATGTAAAACACACAGAAGAATAGAAGAAATAGTTCGTTCTTTATTTCAATAACAATTCGCATAGCTAGGTTGAAGAGGAGATTAATTTGGGGGAGATTGGCGAAAGGGGTCAAATGAGACGAGAGAGAGAGTCAAAGAAGGAATGTACAAGATGAAGAGGAAAGGACCCACTTCGTAAATAAATTGCATTTACAAACTCGCACTTAATGTAAGAAAAACATAAGAAAAACAACGAAACACACCAACAGCAAATATAATGTAAGTGTAATCTTAAATTGTCCTTCCTAAAAAATGTATTTAAAACAATAATATAATTCACCTTCCTAAAATATTATTTGACAGCATGCCGTTTTAAGACCTTTTCAAGCGAATAAATCCAAGGCTTAGAACCGCCATCGTTGTGAAGAGGTCTTTGTGAGACTGAGATTATTGCATAAGTATTATGGAAATCTGCATTTCAAACGAAAGGTTTCCTGAGTTAAAGAAAGGTATAGCGAACTAAAAATGTTAAAAGTTTATGCGAAAGAAAATCATACACATTGCTAACTTTAGCAAATTAACTAAGTTTAAACATCGGATTCATATAGGAATGGCCAAGAACGTAATTTATGCTTTCACTAACAAGATCTTCCCAACAAATAATCTTTTACAAATTAACTAAGTTTAAACATCGGATGCTTAGGAACGGTCAAGAAGGTAATGTAAACCCTCACCAACAAAATATCACAAAATGTAATCTTAGCAGCTACGATCCAGACGATCTTCAAATCTTAGCTTCTGGGAACAACCAGAATGATCAGAAAAACATGCTTTGATGTTCACGGTATACATTTGAAAAGTTGCAACATATAGTGATGGTCAAACGAAAGTCTTTCGAGAAATACGGACTACATTCCGTTTAAGTTGCAGAATAACGATAACATTGGTAATACTATCAATAAAGATGGTAATAGTGACGATAACACTGCTAGTACAGTAGTAATAGTAATACTACTACTACTACTACTACTACTCCTAATGCTGATGCTGCTGCTGATGACGTGATAACAATAATGATTCTTATACTGTGTTATAATGATAATTATGAAAATATATATTATAATGATTATGATGATAACAATAATTTAAAAAATTTCATTATAAACATTCTGTTTTTATGAACCACTTAATGATTTTGATACACTTCTGCCTCCAGATTTCAAAGTCCAAAGAGAGTATTAACTTAATAAACTTGGGTCAAACTATCATTGTTAAAATAACGATTTTTATCCTTCAGTCGTGGGACGTGTACAGTGACGTGATCTGGCTTTTCCTTACATCCTGTCTCCTCCTTTTAACCCTATTTAGCCCGGGGGGTGGGCTCTAGAAGCCCCCCCCCCCCTCGACATTTTTCGAGATAATTTTTTAACGCAAGAAAATCTTGCACTGAAATTTTGTGGCTTTTTTCTTACGCGTCTTGCGCATCTTTTGAAAGAAATTTTTCGAAAATCGGACCTACCATTACAAAGTCACGTGTCCTTTTGTCTTTGCATGTCAGCCCGAAAATCGCACATTTTTGTGATTTGTGTATAAAACATATGGAAATCTCATTTTTCAAATAAAGAGATAAAGCATTGGTTATTTGGTCTTGTTTATAGTTTAGGTGTTTATTTTGGTGTCAAAATAGATGAATTATAGTTGGAAATGAAATAAAACAACACATACAATAAAATACATAAGTTAAAAAAACAAAGAAATACATAAGAAATTATCAAAACAATAGATAACATAATTAAGGAATAGCCCTGGTTTTTCAATTTTTTGTGTTGTATTATTATTCCAAATGGTCTAACAAATATATGTAATGAAAAAAAAAATGCTTAAATATGAATAATGTCTGATTTATGGGCAAAAATGCGAATTTTATGACCTTATTTGCATAAATTACCATAAATATGCAAATGAGTGAATTTTTCAAAAAATTGAAATTACCATATTATTCTATACACTTCACTTGACATGTATGCAAATTTTCGCGGCGATCGGGCGTTTCACGGCCGAGATCATAGGGGGGGGGGGGGGGCTTAGAAGCAAATTGCACGGTGTGAGCGTCGTACGTGACCCTGCCTGAGTTGGCCGCTGGAGGCATTTGAAATCCTGTTCGCTCGTTGAATTTTCAACTCCTAAATAGTACTTTTTCACCAATAAAAAAACAATGAATTTTTGATGCAGGATATAATAGTGATTGTAATAGTGATTATAGTAATAATAATAATATAGTAATACTAATAATAATCATTATTATTAAATTAATAGTATTTAATTATGATAATTATGATAAACCTAAATTATAATGATAATGATTACGATGATAACAATAAATAATGAAAAAAAAAATCCATAAAAACATTCTGTTTTAATGTAACACATAATAAGCTTCTGCCTCTAGATTTCAAAGTGCTTTCAATTTGAAATTATTAACTTGATAAACTCGGGTCAAACTAACAATGCCAAATAAGTTCCAAATAAGGAATTTCACCCTTCAGACATAATAATTACGTGTACAGTAACGGGGTCTAGCTTTTCCTTACATAGTGTATCCTCCTTTTAAAGCACGTCATTCTCCAAAAATCAATATTATTTTGTTGCTCTGAGCGCTTTGCGATACCCACTTGCCCAACGTGAGCGGCAATGAATGGTTCTTAAGTAGATTAAACATGGATTAAACACAATGACATGATTGCTCACAAAAACCTAATATTAAAAGAGCGATAAAGTGTCAGATTACCAAGATTGTGATTATTGTGTAATCGTATTATTCATAAAGGATCACATCCTTGATGTTTATAAGAGACGATTAAGCATACAAAGAAGTCTAGTTTAACATTCAATGCTTGTTAGCCTTCATGATCGACGAAGTGACGTCATTCAAGGATGCCCTGATGTCATAATATTGGGCCGGGGCACTGGACTTTCTGGTTGATGAAAAAAATAAATATTGTAAATTAGTTTCATAAGATAATAAACATACAGTCAATTATATGTTTTTAATTTTCTTCAAGGAAACAGAAAATGTGGCCGCTGTGGACATGCGGTTTTTCTAGACAGGTTATAACACATTGCTCGAGGGACATGGCACTTATAGGCGTCAAGTACTTTTTCTAGAGCGGTGGCCTCTATAAGACTAATTTGTGTTAATATTTGTAAGACGAGTGCTCATTAACAGCGAGTAGGTTTGAATATTTTTTGGTATTAGTCTTTTATATCGTTTTGTTAACTTTGTTTTATGACGACATCGAATGGTTAAATGCTTTGGTCTATTTGTGTTATCGGGTGGAAAAGGATTGGGTGGCGTAAAGTGAAATGATACAAGGGGACTATATTTGGTAGGGAAACTGCCATGGATCGCGAAACGCGGAGCACAGAGCCATAGGAGCCCTTGGTGGCACCATCTCCCTGCAATTAATCCCGGATGTACCCGCATAACCTATTCGGGAAGCGAGGTGCCTGAATAACTCCATATAATAGAATACCGAAGTGCGACGTCAAGTGGCCAAGTTGTCAAGGGTGCTGGTTCCAAACAATTTTGTGCTACACAATGGTGTGGTGATCACACCAGCACGAAACATTGAATTTTCCCTGCTCCACCCGGGCCCGTTGCTTGAATGATTTCGCGACGAACCTCATGCACAGCTCTGTTGTTTAGAACCAGTTGGTTGACGAGCGAATATGACGTTCACATTTCGGTACTCTATAAGTATTCGAGCAGCGAGGTGGCTGATTTGGAAAGGCAATGCGTAATATACTATCAGTCTTACCTGGTCAATTTTAATGACGCAATAACATTTCTTACCTTGGAAAGTGAACTTTCTTTTTTTGAAATATCGAAACTTTTATTTATAAGTAGAGTATGAAAAATTGAAATACGGGCACTCATGCTCCGCCATGCAGTTTTCAGAGACGGCCCTCCGGGGTCTTTTTTATTAGTGTCCCCTTTAGGGGAGAGCGCAGTGTCCCCCCCCCCCCACCTTTTTCAAGTACCACCAAAATGACGGGTGTCCTATTTCCGTCGACAAATGCCGATTTCCCATTCTCATAAGTGCCCTTTTTCTTTCCTATTTATATCCTTTGTAGGTGTAAGAAGTGCACCATTTTCACTTCTGATAATTACCATTTTTACTTTGACACGTGCTCCTTTTCTTCTTTTCTTCATTAAGTGTCCCCTTTTCCTCTCATCAATAAACGCGGTCCTAATTTTAAGCGACTAAGAGCAATTTCCCCCAAAACTCGCTCGCTACGCTCGTTTGCATTTATAGATGCTATAATAATATTACTTAAGTAAAGGTCTTTTCAGTCTTCCGTTTAATATGAGAATGTGCGTATTACCCCATCGGGATTGGGGTTTTCCTCTTTATAAGATATTATTTTTCGCACTGCGACCTCACAAATCTTTACAAAAAATTCCTCGCTCGCTCGCAAATGAATTTTCAGATCATCACACCAAACTGCAAAGCATCATGCTTAAAGCCCCTCTAAAGTGTTGGAAGCCCAAACAATTTGATGGCAACATTCCACTTAAATGTATCATAA